TAATTTGTTCAAGGTCACCCATGAAGATGTTAGCATAGCTGGGGCCCATTTTTGTTCCCATTGCAGTACCTCTAACTTGATGAAAATGGTGCCCGTTGAACTGGAAGTTGTTATGTGTGAGTATGAAATATATAAGGTTCGAAATATCTCGGATCTGGTGTTCGGGGACGTCTTTGGTGCTCAGAAAATTCTTGCTGGCTAGAATGCTCCCCTCATGTGGAATGTTAGAATATAAGGACGAAACATCTAAGGTCACAAGGAGTGCATTATCAGGTAAACGTCTTATGTTACTAAGGATTCTTAGGAAATGTGTAACGTCTTTAATATGGCTAGGTATGAAGGGTAATAGAGGTTTGAGTATGTCGTCAACATAGCCAGAGATGTCTTGTGTCAGGGTTCCTATACTAGAAATAGGCCAGCCAGCTGGATGTATCTTAAGGGATTCTATTAGCTTATGCATCTTATTATGTGGGTTGTTATTGATGCCCTCTACAGAGAGGTTGGTGATTGTGTCTTTGATTATTTTAGGGAGTTTGTGTACTTTGGAGGCGGTGTAGAATGCGCCGGGTCTGGGATTATTCGGGATCAAGGCCATGGTTGATGTCTGTTTGTTATGGTCTAGATGGTTGATAAGAGAGTGGTGTTCAGACTCAATGGGATCTAAGAGGGTTGTTGAGCTGGGATTCCGCGATATATTCTGCGATATATTTACTCTTATCCATGGTAGTGATTGAGCCGCCCTTTTCGGCTTGTTTTATAATTATGTCTTTGTTAGCTTGAAGGGATTTTATGGCTGACTGTCCCTGTCTGGTGAAGTTGTTACCGTAGTTTAGATGGAGGTTATTTTGTATAAATTGTTCCATGCAACTGCATATGTTAGCTCTGTAACGGATATTGAGCACTTTCCACTCATACCGCATATTCCCCAAAGCAAGTAATAACGATAGCGAACACACAGCCAAAAATCACATATACATTTATTACAAAAACCAAATGCATATTAATTACAAACAAGACGAATCTTCTCTAAGGCATATTATAAAGAAATATACTACTCCAATTGATCCGAATAAAAAAATCAAATTTATTATCTATTATAAAAAAATTAAGACAGCCAACTTCATCCTCAAAAATAACAACACACCAATTAAGTCAAAATTATAAAGAACGAACATTATCTTTGAGTTCAAATGCCCCTAAAGGAACTGTGTTCCTGATCAAACCGGACTCATAAATAATTACATCGTTTACACAACTACATGCTTATCCAGACGTCTTACGTTACACCTATCTGATCACAGCTCTATTAGAACCCATTTAAACACACACACAGATTTACCCGATTCCATTAGGAACATACTAGTAGAAAACACAAATATGTTAACTGCATCCACCTGCAAAAAAGACTAAAAATAATGGAAGCTTTAATAATAAAAAAGAAAAAGCCAACTCTTTACAATATTAACTACGAACAAAGCCACAATGTGCTAACCGTATTCGGAAATAAAAAAACATCCCTACGACACACTAATACATACACAGAACGCACACACTCAATTAAGCTGAAAATCGAATCATCCTTGATAATGGTTAAAGGTATAGCCGAAAGCGCTCGGAAATATAAATCATTTGGACAGTTCTTACACACACTTTGTCCAGAAATGAAAGCTCTTGTCAGAACACTAGAAAAATTAAATAAAAAGCTTAACCGTAGTACCTTGTCTGTCGTTTTTAAAAAACATGCATATATATATATATATATATATATATATATATATATATATATATATATATATATATATAAATATCAACAGTCTCTGAAGAAACCTCAACAAATGAAAAAACCGTTTTAATATATATATTTTTACTCATCAGCGGTGCGCATCCACTACCGAGAATTCAAACACAGAATATATGATGTGGCCCGTTGGTACATTTGGTATGATGTTTGTTTGAAAATGTAACTGTCCGGGTTTCAATACTCGGTAGTGGATGCGCACTGCTGATGAGTTCCAAATATAGGACGAAACGGACGTCCAGTGCTTTCTATCTGTATCCGGTTGAGGTTTCTTCTAGACTCGATGAATTACTTAATTATAATTACCTCAAATCCTCCTAATAATTTATATCACTTATATATATATATATATATTCAGTATTTCGGCAGCATGAATTTTACTGAATATTATCGACAACTTCTTTCTATCCAAGTTTTGATTTTTCAAATTACCGAAATTGTGGTTTTCTAAAATCGGTAAATTTACCAAAGTTCTTTTTTTTTTTAACCCATGTGCTTTTGAATGTTGCTACATTCGTTTTCAAATGTCTTAAAAATAATTGTCGGACTTTGTCCATTTTATAATGTGTGACGTCATTTGTTTACATTTGGATACGCATTGAGCAGATATGAATGCACGTGAGAGAACCATAGAAGACCGAAGTTGAAATACAGTAAAATCGACCTTGCTAACAGAACGATCCTCTGTGGCCCTATCGGTTAAGTCACGTCAGGCTATATGACGGTTCCGTATAGGATATAGGTTCGATTTCTGTCAGAGGACGTATATTTTCTATGAAAATTTCTCGGACTTTCAGGTCGGTAAATGTTAATACTGTTTATTATAAACAGAGCATTTACTTAAATAATTCTATCTATAAAAAGAATGTATAAACATAAAAATGTCTTATATATATGCATCAAAAATACTTTTACAAACTTTGATGGCGGGTTTCTCACACTAAAACAAAGTCTATATAAACATATGTTTCAAAATCGTTTTTTGGGTTATTAAGTTTAAAGAAATTTGATAGTAGATCGCGCTGTGTTGGCGTGTAGACTAGGTTACATTTGTCATTCGTGTACATTTGTAGCTAGTCTGTATTCAACGTTTAACGTGTGTAGCAGTGAGTTAACTGAGAAGTGTTCCGTTTAACAATGGCAGGATATGATTTTTACATACGGCCGCGCAAATGGTAATGGACACGAGGCTTTGCACGGCTGTATCAGATTGCATTTACAGACGAAAGGCAGCCAAGTCATCCAAATTTTGCTTTTGTTTATCGCTGCATTGCTGAGACAGATTCGTGGTATCACAAACTATGGATCAAGGAAGACCGATATCCACTCGTACGTCTCACCATGAAAAACACATTGTACAGGCTGTCGGAGAAGATCCAGGTATCATCACACGTCAAGTAGCCCAAGGATGTTGTACATCTCATAGTACCGCATTCAGGGTAATTGAAGAGCAGCTTCTGTATCCGTATCATTTGCAGCGTGTGCAGGGTCTTTCGCCCTCTGATCATTCACCACTAGAGAACTTTTGCCGAGGATTTATTGCATAAACTGCTGATACGTTGTTTGTCTCCACAGTCTTGTTTGCGGATGAGTTAACATTTGGAAGCGATGGAATAACAAATTAACATTTGTGGCCGGATCGGAATTCCCATTGTACAATATAGGCTAGACACCAGCGTCAATTTCCGATTAATGTGTGGGCTAGAATAGTCCGTGACTAACAGGGAGGTCCATATGTTCTCCCAGGAGCTATCTACGATGACTTTATTTCAAACACACTTCCAAACCTACTAGATAATGTACCCCTGGTAATACGAAGACGCACGTGGTTCATCCATGATGGGGTCCTGTACATTTTAGTCACATTGTTCGCGATGCACTGGCTGACATCTACCATGAAAGATGGATATGTAGGGGAGGACCGATGGCTTGCCCGTTCCTCTGACCTCAATGATTTTGAGTTTTATCTGTGGGGTCACCTTAAATTAGTTTATGCAGCGGACAGTAGTAATGCAGAGACGCTTTATCAAAGTGCCATGGGGGACCTGCGAAACCATTCGACACCGTGTGTGGGTATTTGAAAGTGTCCGCCAGTAATTAATCCGACGGGTGCATGCGTGTGTAGCATCAAGCGGGGTACATTTTGAACATTTGTTAAGAGTTGATGTCTTGAGATACAACGTTGGCATTTTCGACATATGTTTATATAGACATTTTATCTTGTTTTGGTGTGAGGAACACGCCCTCAAAGTTTGTAAAAGTATTTTTGGATATGGACTTTCGTCATTGTTTTGGTGTGAGGAACCCGCCGCCAAAGTTTGTAAAATAATATATATATATATATATATATATATATATATATATATATATTCCATATACTCATCAAATATATATATATATATATATGCGTGTATATGTGCCTGTGTGTGCACGTGTGTGCGTACTTCAGCAAATTTTGCCTAATGATAAAATATCAATTTAATTTATGCAAATAAGAATTATCTATTTTGAAAAAAATACAATATCTTGTCAATGCACTTAATAAATTGGTCAATATTAATGGCAGAGATCAGACATAATACAGTGAAAACTTCAGATCAAGAGCTGATCACTACGTGTTAGTCAAAGGATATATTGATTCAGCATTGCATAAATATATATATATATATATGTGTGTGTGTGTGTGTCTGTGTGTGTATCTGTATGTGTGCGTGTGTGTGTGTACATATATGCCTGTATATGTGTGTATAAATGCCATACAAAATGCATATGTCTATACACGTGTGTGCGTCTGTATGCGCGAGCGTGTGAGAGTGTATGTGTGTGTATAAGATGCCATAGCAAATGCATATATATGTGTACGTGGGCGCGGACGCGTGTGTGCTTATGTGCGTGTGTAAATGCCATAAATATTATATATATGGTGTGTGTATATGTGTCTTTATGTGCGAACGTGTGTGTGCGTGTATGTAAATACGAGAGTATGTGTGTATGCTTCTGTATGTTCGAGCGTATGTGCGTGGGGGGCGTGTGTGTGTGTGCGTCTGTATGTGTGTGAGTATATGCTCACAGAGAGAACCATAGCGACTGAAAAGAAGGTACAATCTTCACACTGCCGTTTTTCCTTTTATATTCCCGAACTATGCCAGGAACTTTGAATGACGTTTGGATTCTAAGCTAACGCCATCTTGGGAATCTTCAGCGGAAATACCACGTCGAATTTCTTCAGAAATGTATCACGTGATATTTCGCCTCGTTTTGCACAGCCGGCGGCCAATCTTGTCTTTTCTTTGCTGCTCAATTCTTCTGAAAGTTACTCCCTCCTTCTATTCTTCACCGAGCAATTTTCTCCGCTCTCTCTCACTTTTCTGATTCTCTTTCTCCCTCAGTCCCAACCCTTGTCTCTCACTGTCACTTTTCCATTCATCTCGCAAACAAACTGTATCATTCTGGGCGGTTCTCAAGAGAGTTTATAATCTTCTCTGCTGTATGTTTTTCATTCAAGCATAGGTGAATGCCATCATTTGAATTTTTATTTTTCAAGGCTGGTCTTTGTCTCTTTGTAAGAGCGTATGCAATAGTTATCTATCATTAAAAAATGTATGCATATATATATATATATATATATATATATATAAAGTGGATATTGAAGTCAACAGTCAGATGTGACAATCTGTTTCAGGCTGAACGCAATCGTCAGTCCATGACCAATGCAGTTGGCATGACGATTGCATTTTATCATGAACGCCTCTGTCAACTTTTATATTTACATACGCTCTATACCTGATATTTAATGCTTTAGCCCATAAATATAGCATACGTTAAAATTATATTTTATCTTATATATATATATATATATATATATATATATATATATATAAAAACAAAATCCAAAATTACCTCATATGTTCTGTTATAATAAATACATTGGGCACTTTTTGTCGATCATTTATATTTTATATTACTAGGATCCACCTGGATATTATACCAACGAATTTATTACGTATATATATATATATATATATATATATATAAGCTGCATATCTTCATTCAGTTATGATTGCTTGAATAATTTGGTCGACTTCTTCGTTGATATGAAATTGATTAAGGGAGGCGCTGTATTTGTTTCTTTTATTTTCGTTTTTTATATTCCCAGGTACATTCAGTCTTATCCGAGATCATCGTTAAGAATGAACTATTAACAAAAAAAAATTAAATGTAACTGATAGTTGTGATTTTTTTGTAAATACGCATGAAACGCGCTCTGTTATAGTTAATTTAAACTTAACTCTTAAAGCTATGGCCTATGTTACCTAAGGGAAGTAACTTTAATTTGTATAGTTATAATTTTAAATTTCATATATATATATATATATATATATATACTTAGGAGAAATTATATAAATTTACTAAACGAAAGTTGATAGAAATTGATTTAATCTGTAAATCAACCACAATAAATTTTCGTCGAGATTCTTACATTTCACCTTTCTTGGCAAAATGTAACCCACAGTGTGATTATTATCACAATATGGGTTTCTTAATAACAAAAGATATAAAGATATAAACAAAAGGAAAAGAAACTAAATCAAGTCTATATATATATATATATATATATATATATATATATATATATATATATATATATAATAAATTTAAATGTTTTAAAATTTCAACGTCTCCTTTTCTTTTGTACACTGGTGTAGTTACATCAACATAAACATCAGTCTAGTTTCATGTAAACCTCACAGACGAAACGAATTACACGAATAATTTTTATCGCTTTGTTATTTATTTTCTTAATACTATATATATATATATGTGTGTGTGTGGGTGTCCAGGCAGAATGAGAACAGATAGAGTACACTTCCAACGTTCATAGCATTTAATTTAAAAGGCAGAGAAATTTTATTTATTTTAGGATATTACAACAAAAACATGTAAGAATCGCTACACAATTGCAGTCGTGTTTCAACGCATAACAATGCGTCTCCTCAGGCGATTGGAAATTACTGGTGAGTGAACGATTAATTTGGTTTTAAAAAAAATACAACCTCTTTTTATATATATATATATATATATATATATATATATATATAAGGTTTGAGGGCTTTACTCTGATCAACCAAATGAATATTACCTACGTTTAATTAAAACTAAGAAAATACGATAAAAAATAGAAATTATTATTTTAGAAATGTGTGGTGACCATGATCCATTTTTAAGATAATAATTTCTCATTCTTTTTAATTGATTGATGTGACGTTCACCATTAACAACAAACTCGCGCCAACGTAGCCTACTTAGCTGGGCTGGGGAACACCCACCCTGGGCAGATGAGGTTACTTACAATAGCTGCAAATCTCCTAGGAAATTTCACAGTGGTTTCTGAAATTTTACATTTGTGACAAAACCTGAAAAACTTTTGGATTTTGGAGTTTTTCGGATTTGGAAATTTCGAACACACACACACACACACACACACACACATATATATATATATATACATATATATATATATATATATATATATATATATATGATGGATAGACTCTGCCGTCGTGTTTGATGTATAAGGGTCGGAAAATTCAGCTAATGAAACTGAAGTCAGACTACTCGCGCAGATGATTTTCCTTATAGTGGTAACGTTTTGCGCAAAAAAACCCTACTATTTTCGAAAGCACTGAATACCAAAAATTCCATGCCACGAGATCACCCAAAATCCCTTCTCGGGTTTTGAATTCAGAGATTTTATTCTCTTAGACTTGCTGCCAACCAAGGCTAACGAACCTGTCTCTCATAATATTTAACACACAGGTAGGAGAGGAAGATCGATTCATACCTTTCCCCATGAGTATTTCCGCGTAACTGAATGTAACAAACTTGACTGGACTTCGAAATCAGCTCTCCGATTTCTCACGTAAACATGCAACACGGCCTTCTACTAAGCTTCTAACTGATTGGTCAGTGATCACCCTTTTGCATACCGATTTTCGATCTCATCGATATGCACCGAAGCATGGGAAAGGCCCTGCTTCATGTTCACAAGGTAACACGATAAAAGACAAACACCACGTTGAGAAATATTATATGATGCTTCTAGATTTCCCCTCTCCGTGGGGAGATTGTCCAGCTTTTACTGAAATATAAGAGGATGGATTACGCACAGCAATTCAGCACTGTTTTTCTTTATTTTAAAGAGTCAATCAAAAAACAAAATGAAGTATCGCTGTCATATCTGGACAGGAGCTGCTGAAGCCCTAATTTGACAGCTTGACTGAGTTGAAAATCGTAAACGTTGACTTTTCGAAGAAGACATTGGCCACTCTTCAGTTTCTTTCCCACAGATGAAAGGCCACAAGCCTGTCGCTACACTAAACTATTTCTCCGACGACAAATTTTTTCATTACCCATTCTTTACTTCCGCCAGTTTAGCCCTTCACAAGTAGGATAGACCATGATAATTTCCCGGAGTCAATTCTCTTTTATTTCCACTATATTCCGAATGTAAGAAAGAAGTTCCACTCCGCTACATTGTCAAAAAGACTCCCACGTGGATGTTTCCTTGAACATTATACCCTAACCTGTTTAAGTTAAAGGTCAATCGTTATCTTTCCTCTCTATCCTCATAATTTTAATTTCCTACTACCTCGACTTTCATTCACATCATACACTTCATTCATCATTGCCATTTTAACAGTAACCCTCTGTCTTGACTGGCTCTCGAGGCTTGACTGTGGGGAGCTATAGTCTAAAAACGTACGTGTTTCCTCAAATATCCCGTATCTCCCTCAGTATATTCTCAGATCTCTACACGATCGTGATTTGGTTGGGTTGGTTTGGTTTGGTTTGGTTGGTTTGGTTTGGTTGGTTTGGTTGGTTTGGTTTGGTTGGTTTGATTGGTTTGGTTTGGTTGGTTTGGTTTGGTTTGGTTTGGTTTGGTTTAACAGCATGTCAACATCTCTATGGGGTATTTAATGCTGAATTCTAAATATTTTGTACGTAATTCTATGCTTTCAACTACATACATTTTATACATAATTTTATGCTTCCAAGGTAAAAGTTTTTTAGATATATAATCTGTAGATGAAAAATATTATTGGTAATTTTTTTTCAATATATTGCTGGTAATCACGCTGAAAGTGGGGTGCTGTTAGAAATAGGCTTCGATAACTTTAAAACGTTGTTTGATTATTAATCTTTTCATGGCTGAAATTGCCAAAGACTTAAGTTGTTATATCTGAAAGAAAAAGAAAAAAATTTATTAGCCGCTTAAACTTAATTCACAGTTAAAATCGGTCAAAGATATTGGAACATCCTTTACCTTCAGATTCTACAACACTTATTGACATTGATACAATTTACCGTAATTCCCCATGTATAATACACCTTCATCCGTAATACGCATCTCTGAAATTTTGCTGAAAGTGTGGAAAAATGCTTCTACTTGGAATACCCTTTATATTTTTATATTGATTTTTTTTTTAAATATAAACTTGAAGAGAGATTCTAGTGAATTATTATTTAGTATTGACAAACATTGTTTTCATTCCTTACATCGCGATCTTCTCTTAACTGTTGAAAAATATTGAAAGAGTTACGCCAATCATTTTGTTTATTATTATTATTATTATTATTATTATTATTATTATTATTTCTTTTCATGTATTTTCTCGGAACATTTTTCCGGGTCAAACAAGAGACCTAAGGTCAGAAATGGCTTTATGACATTTTCCAATGATCTTGTTATTTTTCAAATCACGCATATTTTACATAGATAAATCTCTTCATTGTATGTGAGCTGTTATTGTGTGTACAGTCTTTTTTTAAGTCATGGTCTACCAGGAATTCATTCAGTGAATCTATTGGAACATTTTCAAACCAATCCGAGGGCTCCAACTACAACTGGAATTATTGATGTCCTCATATGGCACATTTTGAGATTTCCACTTCAAGGTCCTTGTATTTTGATAGATTTTTTTTAAGATCTTAATCTTAAATAAGACAGAACATTTTGTTTTTGTGGTCTTTGATCACGATATCTGAGCGATTAGCTTTGATTATTCTGTCTCTGTGTATTGTAAAGTCCCATAAATTTGTTACAGGTCCTATCTCCGTAACCGGGTCTGGGTGGTGTTCGTACAAGTTTCCTGCAGTTTCCTTCCTGTAAAAGTTGCATATTTTCCAGTGCATATATTCACCCACTCTATCATGAGTTTTATATTCAGTGCGCGGTAACACGGTGCAATTTGATACAAGACGGTTAATTGTTTCTGGATATTTATCACAGAATCTGCATTTCAGGTTAACACAATTTTTCAGTGTGTGCGCTTGGCAATTCCTAGTTAGCAAGCATTGTTCCTGTGCATCAAGGTAAACCCTTTGATTTCAGCTTTTAAACAATGTAACCACTGATGGGTACGGTGTTTGTCTTTCAGCTTGTTTGGTACAAGCAGAGTATTGATCATGAAGAGGC